TGACATTTTTAAGTTATTTTTCTATACTAATTCAGAAGTCAAACAACAAAAATCAGCGTTAATTTACAAAATTTTCACAGGACTAGTTTCGATGGTTTTACCGAACCATCATCTTCAGCTGCAAAACCGCAAATGAACAAGATAGGAAATAATGTTTAGATAAGATAAGAAAGCCTGGACAAGAATAAGCAAGTGGCGCCATCTGTTGGCGAAACCAGAACTAAAACATAATTTCTCTAAAAGCCGAAGGCAAATTTGGATTGGAATTAGGATCGTTAACTAGAACAGAAAGATTTTTATGAATGTGAAATGCCTCTAGAAAATCCAGTTCTCCAATGGAAGATGTTTTTTTGAATAATTTTGGCAGCAGAAAAATTGAAAGTGTGATTTTCGGACCAACAATGTTGAGCAACAGAAGACTTCTGTGTTTCCTTTTTTCTAACATATGCCTCATGTTCTTTGACGCGAAATTTTAAGGCTCTCTTAGTTTGGCCAATGTAAATTAAACCACACTGGCAAGGAATCCTATAAATACCCCAGGAATTCATATCCGGAATGGGGTCCTTGAGTATAGAAGTTGGAATTTTATTGATGGGAGAATAAACAACCCGAAAGTTAAATTTCTGCAAAATATGTGCAACTTTATAGCTAATTGATGGAAAGAAGGGAATGACAACAGAATTTTTATAATCTCCTAAAATAAGAGTGTGGCTTTTAGTGTGTTGAGATGAGAATTTTTTAACTGCTTGATTAATAATGTTGGGTGAAAAGCCCCTGTCAATAGCTATTGCTTTTAAATAATTTAGTTCTTCATCAAGGGCTAGTTTGGAGGAGCAAACTTGAAGAGCACGGAAAACATAGGAATAAAATGAAGCTAACTTTTGTTTAGTCGGATGACATGATTTAAAGTGTGGTGGAAGGCAAACCGATGAAGGTTTACGGTAAACTGTAGTACTGAAGTTGGATGTGTTACGTGTGACCAGAATGTCGAGAAACGGAAGAGAATTGCAAGTCTCAAGTTCAAAAGTGAACTGAATAGCAGGATCAATAGAATTCATTGTTGAAAGAACTCTTATTTAAATCATCTTTATTACCTTCAAACAGGGTAAAAGTATCGTCTACGTAGCGGAACCATGCCGGGAAGTTTAAAGTTTCAAACAATTTTGATTCATAATAATGCATGTAGATATCAGCCAGGATGGGACTGAGGGGGCTTCCCATGGCTAATCCCTCAGTTTGCTTGTAATATTTATTTTGGAAAACAAAATGTGTTTGTTTCAAACAGAGTTGAGTGAGAGAGAAATTAGCTCATCAATTTCGATGCAAGAGAAATGAAATTCGCGAAGTCTGGTTTCTAGACATCTTAATGCACCCTCCACTGGGACATTGGTGAATAATGATTTTACATCAAAAGAAACCATGAGTAAATTACGAGGAGAAATGTTTTTAACCTTTTTTACAAACTCTATTGAATTTTTTATGGTGTAAATGTTATTGTCTAATAGAGTGGAAAATCTAGAAACTAAATATTTAGCTAATGGATACGAGGCAGTACCTAAATTTGATACAATAGGGCGGAAAGGAATACCACTTTTATGAATTTTGGGAAGAGCATATAATCTGGCACAATTCGCAACAGATGGGATAAGCGAATGTTTTAAGTTGCTTGAAATGATTTGCGAAGATTTGATCGCAGTTTTTATTTTTGGATAAGTCCGAAGGTGAAGGATCTTTAGGGATCGGATTATATGGTCCTTCGTTTAAGAGTTTAGTGACACCATCGATGTAAGTGTTCTTATCCATGACGACTATCTGGCCACCTTTGTCGGCCTTTGAAATGACAATATCCGGGTTAGAATGAATCTCGCGCATTGTAGCTCTTTCTCTCGCAGTTAGATTTGGTTTCAAAGGTTTATTATTGAATTTCACATTATGAGCGATAAGATGCCTAATCATTTCTTTCTGTGAATCTGAAACTTTACTGAACTTGAAAGCTTTTTCGATAGGAGCCAAAATCTTTGGAATCGAGGGTTTACAGGTTTGTGAGAAGTTAAAATTATATTTTAGAATTCTCTCTTGTTCTTCTGAAAGACTAACATTAGAAATATTAACTATTGGCTTGATGTTTACAATGGGAAGATTTTTTGAACTACTTGAACTGGAAGACTGTAAAAGAAGTTTTTCGAATTTAACTGCAAGGGTGTTTTTATGACGGTTAACTGCATTCTCCGTTCTAGACCAAGACTTTGTTCAAGGGCAGTGAATTTTGGATATGATTTAGCGAGTTCCAGATGAAGCTTATAGAGTTCATGTTCAATTTTGGACAATTGTTGACGTGTATCCCTTATCACGGACCGAAGTAAGGCAAGTTTGCAATTTAACAGAATTCTTGAAACGCGACTCGAAGGTTTTTGATTAGATTTGATTTGAATAAAATTGGGGATCAATTTTTTACATTTACATTTAAGTAAAAAGTCAAGATGATTCAGGAATTTTTGCCGTTTCAGGCGTAATTTAGTGATTTTAGAAGAAGAATAAAGTAATAAAAATAAATAAATAATAATAAAAAAACATAAAATGCAATTGATTTGGGAGGGCACTATCTCATAAGGAATTATATATATTAAATACATTTTTACATAAAGATGAAATGCATATAAAAATTATTTTTTACATTTTTAGAAACACTGGAATGCTTTGAGTCCTACTTAATCCAAATTATAAAAGAATTTTGCTGGTCTATAAATTTGTTTTTTTATTATTATTTGCACAAAAGTTGTTTCTTAGAATTTCCCATTCTGACACAACAAAAAGTAATTTTCAATTCCAATCAGTTTTATTTATTCATTTATTATTATTATCTGCACGAAAGTTGTAAGTTTCTTAGAATTTCCTATTTTGACACAACAAAAAAATTCCATTTTTAGTTCTAATCACAATAAAAATTACCAAATTACTGAAAACAAAACAGGGTTTATCTTCAGTTATGGGTAAAAATCTAGTAAATTTTAGTAAAATATTTATTTGGTAACAATTATAAAAGGAATAATCAATAGAATGTAATACAAAACAGGAAGAGTGACATAGTTTCAAGGCAGTATACAGTCAGCTTTTTATTTATCTCTTTAGTTTTAGTTGATGAATAAAAAAAACTAATTTTTTTTAAAATATTTATCAACATTTTCTAACTTTTTCTTTTTTAATTTATAAAAGCATAAAAAAGAATCTAAATTTGAATAAAGATATGGGTATTTTTCAAGCTTTGGAAAAGAAGGAGAGCATTGTCTAGCATTATTGTGAAAAGAGTGCGCAAGACAAAAACGGTTTACAACCACTGATATAGTAATGAAAGAGGTTTGGTTTATTTAATTACTGCGAAGGACATGAGGGCTATCTGCTGAAGAGAAGGGATGCCTTTGTGGAAGACTTAAGGCAAACTGTTTCATATACACATTACATATGGGGGGGGAAACCATGAAAATGCCCATGCAGTCAGCTTGTTCACCAGGATTTGAATCCTGGACCAAAATACCAGTGTTCAGCGATTTTACAACGCTTGGCTGCTGGTGGGTGAATAATGAAGAATAAATATGTCTTCAGAAGTCATTAAAACCATCACATTTTACTGCTGGCACCTAAAGGCTGTGGAAACTTCATGTATTAATGATTATTAGACCACCTATTTTATTACAAAACGTTAGTATAAAAAGAAATTTTCCATTCCTTTTATTCTAACTTCTCATATACTTTAATGAATTTATTTACAACTGATTTATCATAAAAATATTCAGATACACTGCATAAATAATGGTTTGTCAAATTAAAATTTTCACCGATAATATATATTTACGATATACAAAAATACAATAGAAGAAAATTATGCCTACTTAACTCTGCATGTGATACACAAGAGAGATTTTTGTGGGGAATGAGAGGCAGATTTATGGGCTTGCACATGTTGCAATCCTGAGAGGCCCCAAAACCATTAATCAGTTTTGAAAAATAGTAAACATGTCCAACGTCTTAAAATGAGGAACTCCCAAAAAATTTAGGCGAGTTAAGGCTTTCCTTCATCTGCCACAACAGAAACATGCTTTTCCTTTAAAACTTTCAACTTATTCCATATAAAAATCATAAATTATCATTTACTCAACATTTTATATGGTGAATGTTTTCATGATAAATACCTTCATAATCAATCACACAGTTGCCAAAAATACAAGAAAATAGAACAAAATATTTGGAAAATCCATAGAAATAAGCAAAACAAAATATTAAAAAAAAAAACTGTCTAAGTTCATTTTTTGTTATTCTTTTAAAATAACTTTCATGCAAAAATTTTTTTTCAAATAAAGTAACATTAAAAAGAATTATGAGGATAATAAACAAAAATTGTTGCTGTTGATTTGAAGATGCAAGTAGCTCTGAACAATACAATCAGGCAAATGAAGTAAAAGAGAAATTTAAATAACATGAATGTTTCTTAGAACTTTGGAATACTTTTTTGGCTTATTTTTAAGAGGTGTGCATTTTTATTTCATGCATTATACTTACTATAAGATCTTTTACAATTCATGCTGAATTTGAGTAACATCAATGAGACTTAAGTTATGCAGCTCCTATGTCACTAATTTTAAAATAATGCAAGCACTCAAGTGCCCTACAAATAATTAGAATATAATGAAATATTTTCAAATTTTAAACATAATAATTTGATTATATGCATCACTAGAATATGAGACAGGCATTCATATGGTTTTTAAATCCTTTATCTTACATCATTTTTAAAATTCTGTATCATTCAGATTATATGCTAAGGATTACTAAATCCTTAAATAGTGTTATCCTTTCATTTTAATATGATAATTTAAGATTACATGTATACAAAAATTCATGATTTTTAACACAAATATCATATGCTATGATGTATATTTCTAATGTATATATTTAAGTTGCTATAAGGTGATTATTTGTCTAACTCTCCCGAGAAAAAAACAAAGTAGTGCTAACAAAATCTTTATTATTGCAGATTTTAATATGCAACATAATTCCATAATACAATATCAAATCTAAGTCAGCTTCAATAAATTTATCTCCCTACTTTACCAAGGCGAGTGTCCGTTTTTGGATTTGCAGTAACATTCTGTACTGCAACTATAATCTCATTAATTTTTGTTTGTAAATCTCTCAAATCATGGATGAAACACAATCGTAGAATTTTGGCAGCTTTATCAAGTACTGGATCACCTGTATCAAATCCAAGAGGCAATTCCATGACTGGTGATGGTTTTCCATCCTTCTTTTTAGTTTTATTTTCCAAGGCTTCTTTTGTAAATGAGTTTTGTATAACTGTACACACAGCACTTAAGGTTTCCAAATGGTCAGGATGAGGTGAAACACCCAGAAGTTGAGCTAAAGATTTTACATGTCCTTTAAATTCTGCGCTTTCAAAGTCCATATTATCCAAAGGATTTTTTGCTTTTACCTATTAAAAAAGCACATTATTATTATTTTTAATAAATACAATCAATTCTAACAAAGCATTTTTATATATTATAAGAAGCCTTAAAAATTTTCAAAAAATTGTTATGATAATAAATTAATTAAAAACTGATCTTTATTTCAATATTAATAAAAAAAGGTACTTTTCCCTTATGAATTTACCATGCATTTTGGCCCATGGCAGGTGGCTATCACTTGCCACGCTCTGTGGGTGTGTCATCTATAAATAATTTATTCTTATAAATTATTATTAACTATTGATTATATACAGAAATTGTTTATAATTAAAAAACTGGCTGAAATGTGTGGCAGGTGCATAATGGAAAAGTACCAATCAGAGCCTAAGTAAATGCCTAGTAATTACTCTGGCACAAACTTAAATATGATAAAGTGTGCATATTATATATATAATCTGCATTGATCTGTAACACCATAAAGTGATCCCATTATAACTTCTTTAGTTTTCAAAAATTAAAATTCTTACTCAGGTTTTAATAAATTGCAAATTCTGGTATACTTGTATGATCATAAATATGAGCATATACTAATGACAGGGCAATTATACTTTGCAAATATCAATTCATACAGCATAATAAAAAAATATAATTAATTTACTAAACTGATAAATAAAAAATAAAAATTTTCTTTTACATATACATAACTGCTAAACTTAAAAAAAAAAAAAAAAAAAAAAAAAAAAAAGCATTTTTAGGAGGTTTGGACCATTTTGGCAACACCATTTCAAAATAATTCCAAACTGATGTAAATTCACATTTCACCACTTAGAACATGGTTACAGTCTTTCAATATTTAGTGTACTAGCAGTTGTTGGATTATCAAAATAAATGGTTTACAGCAAAATATCGCTAAAAAAGTCCCCCCCCCTCCCCAGTTAATCTGCTTTATACATTCACCAGCAGTTTCAATAAATTATTCTTCCTTTTCATATCTCATCCTCTCATGGTCGATGATTTTTCCCAAGTATGGCTGCCTCTCCATCTGGAACCTGAGTGAAAAAGAATTCACCAGTTTCTCGGCATTACCTGCCAAATATCTAGTACTGTGGAAGAACTTTGTCAGCTTTGGTTTTCCTTTGTAAGAATAGATTTTTATTTATGTCCACAATTTTTTCAGGGCCACTAATTGCTTATTTGGTTATCAGTTTAAAGGAGGAGAATATGCTCCTTTCATAAAACTACTCCAGTCAACAACTGTATTTTCACAAAGGCGAAGTTGCTTTTTCCACCACTTAATCAACTGACCAACAATTAATAAATTACTGCACTGTTAGAAACAGTATAGTGAAACCACTAAACCAATTGTCAAAACATATATTTCATGGTCACTTGCAGCTTTTACATTGCACTTTAAATGCTTTTTTTGATACATAGTTTTATTTAACAGCCAGTTTCGCATATTCAAATGCGAGGTTAATCAAATCTCCCGCCCTTTTTTTAAAAAAAAAAAAAAAGAAAGAAAGAAAGAAAATATGGTGACATATGGAATACTAAGAAAACAGAATTGAGTGACTGTGATTTGTTAACATTTATATATAAAAAGAAAATATAACACATGGTTTACAGGAGGCTCTTTTCATCAGGAGCAAACTATAAAAATTAGGACTGCCACCCATTTGATGATGCTCTGTGTTGGTGATTTATCAATAACCTTTATGCCAGTTACGAAATAGGCAAATACCAAATAGGGGAATTCCTTATTATAATAAGGAAAAAAAAAAAAAAAAAAAAAAAAAAAAAAAACTAATATAAAAGTTTTACACTAGACCTCCTGAATATACAGTGTTTATTCTTTAACAGTTAATTCTTCTTCTATAAGTACACGACAATGTATAATAAATCACAATTTAGCAACATTCTATACTACAAAAACTCAAAATCCACAAAAAAAAAAAAAAACAATAAATTTGCTTTAAAAAACTGGAAACAATAAGATTGTTTGAAGCGAGTTAAATTGATGCCAATGCATTTTGCTGGTTGCGGCTAAACATTTACATAAAATTACCATGCAAATAATTTGATAATAAAGTAGAGAAAATTTATCTTCATTAAAGCTCCAGAATAATTACATTTAATGGAATACAGAAAGAAGATTAAAAATATATTATGTAACAGCCTGTCAATCTAAATGATGGCTTAGAATTATCCAACCATTTGATGGCCTTGAAGCTATTTTTGAAGTACTTGCGCATTGGTGCGACTACCTTTGCACAGTTTATCAGTTTTTACCAGTAAAAAAGAATGATAAATTATTAAAAAAATTTTATTACATACAGAAGTATTTTAAGTGTTTATGCCAAAAATCCAAATACTCTGTGAAGAAGCTTTTGTTTCTTTTGCTCAGGTAGAAATTTATTGATGATCATTTTAAAAATAGTTCAAAGTATTGTTCTCTTAAACAATTTTGTTGCATAATACTGGGTACTTTGGTATTATTGCAACCACCTTTGTTGAAGTGGCCAAACTGTGACAACCATGTGCATAACAATTCTTCAGGTAACCATACTGATTACTGTAAGTAAAATAAGCAATGTCACCATTTTCGTACACGTTGTTTTGGTTGTATTAGAAACTCCACAGGCAAATTTCGATATTTTTGGTCTTCAGTTGAATTTTTAAATATGCACTTGTGAGATTTGCCTGCCAACAAAGAAAGTTCTGTGAAATTTTCGCAAGAATATAATATTTTGCCACAAAGGTGGGAATGTTCAGATTCTCACTTGATTATGTTGTATTTTGAAAACAACCTTTTGAAAAGCAACAAGAAAAGGTGTAATGAACATGTCAATATTTGAAGCAATAACTGGTTTGAGAATAGTCATCTGCCATTTACTACAGCAGTCAGATTTATACACTGCTGGAGTAAAGAATTAACAAGTACAGTACAAAGTCTGTAATCCGGACGTCCATTATCCGGACCTCAAAGCCAAAAACTTTTTTTTTTTTTTGTATGCTTTAGGCATGTGCGTTGGGAGGATGTGTCTCCAGATGTGTTAAAAAATACTTGGCATAATTTATGGCCAGCTACCATATTTCATGGTGAGGACGGTGAAGATGATAGCCGCGAATTTGCAGGTTTTTGGACATCGCAAACTAAAGGTGAAATTTTCCAGTTATTGGATTTTGTAAAGAAATGTGGAGAAGTGGTAATAAATGAAGATGATATAACAGAAGTTTTTCATTGCGACGACAATGCCCCAATTATCAATCAATTAATGGACGGCAAAATCTGTAGTATGGTTCTAGATCCAGAAAATATCGCTTCCGATAGTGAAGAAAGTGACAGAGAGCTTATTGAAAATCAAAAAATTTCGATTGATAAGTTAGTCGGTATTCTCAACACAACAATTACAGGACTTGAACAGTGGAACTTTGTAACTGAACAAGAAATTATGTTTGTTTATAGAATTAAAGAGAAAGTATATAAGCACAAAAAACGAAGCAACTTAAGCAACTTACATTGAAAGAAATGTTTAATAAAGTAAACAAATAAATATTAAGCTTTTTTTTTTTTTTTTTTTTTTTTGTAAATTTGATACCCTTTAGATCATAATTGCTCTTTATTTCATAAATTACAGTTTCATATTTTTAACTGTATAATTTCTGCATGCCATCTTACCAGATTTAAATTGATGATCTATATCTGAAAAAAACCCTAACCCGGAATCACCGAAGTCCGGACGGACTTTGTACTGTATTAACGAGTGGTTTCCCATTACAATGAAATTTCCACCGGAGTAAAAGAAATAAAAACCTATTTGTAAGTAGTTTTATAAATTGTTCTCTGCGATAAATATTGTATAAATTAAAATATTTACCTAATAACATGCATGATATGAAATAAATAACTTTCTCCTAGTTCAAATTACTATTCGTTTTCTTCTTCAAAAAATCACCAAATTGCACGAAGGTGCTGTGTTGCAATAATACCAAAGTACCAAACACTGTATTCCCACTGACTTTTACTGCAATTTCTTCTACTGTGCACAAACCCCACAATTATGCATTTTATCTAAAACTGAGTAAAGGCAAAAGGTATTACAATTTGCCTATAAGAGCCATTGGAACTTCTTACCATGGTTAAACATCTACTATATTTCATCATGAAATTATTTATGATTATATTCTGCCTTTAAATATTTTAATGAGCACATCTTATCACATAACAAGTCCTAAAATGTCACCTGACATGTTTCATTATTGCATGCTTATGATTTTCTGTAAGAATCTACAATTCTCATCCCGTAATAAAAGATTTTGAAATTATCAGCTTATGAAAAAAGCACATTACCAGACAATATACTATAATTTCTGCATCACTGAAGATACCATTTAAAATTTTCCAATACATTAGAGCAAATTTCATAAATACGCAACTAAAATACAAGAACTTGAGAACAAGTGCACGAAAAACACGTATTTAAAATAAACTTAACACCAGATTACTAAAATTGCAAGCTATTTCATTGAACAACAACTCCACTCAAACCACAGCTAGCACAACCATCAACATGAGTATGTATATGCACAATTTTCAGACCTCATGATTTATTTACAAAATTATGTAAATGATTCTCAGTTATTTAAGACTTTTAATACCTTTATTTTTTTACTCTTTATTTTATACAATTTTGAAAAAAGAATCAAGGAATAAGAGAAAATTTATTTTTTAATATTTCTACAATTTAAAATGTTGACTACATGGGTCATTAATTTTTAAAAACAGCTTGCTTACAAAGCAAATCTTAACTTCCTTACATTTCTCTAATAAAAATATGAATGTCCCAAAAATGTTTCCAAATTAGTTATTAACAGTGATTAGTATCTCCAGATTTAAAATAAAAGTATCAAATGTAGCTGAATTGAAATAATAAAAAACAAAGACATGAAATACATGTTGTAATCGCTATTTTTAAAATAATCAGCAATTATTATGCAAAAAGGAATCTTAGACTCACATAGACTT